TAGAAGGGCCTATTGGTCGATAATATGTATCCAAAATAATAATGTTATTGTCATAATAATTAATGTATTTATACATTATAATGTATTATTTACATTAATAACGATATTGTTATAATTTTTTAAAGTTAAATATTAATAATGTATATATGTATTATTCGATTAACATAATTAAGAATAAAAACAATATAATTATTTAATTTTTGTGAATTAAAATTAATAAAAAATTTATTTAAAATATGTTTTATGTATTCTGAATTTATATACTCATTACTTATATAAGTCATTTCGTACAATAGAATATTTCATAATTGCCATAATTGTAAAATTTAAATTTTTAAATATTATCATTACTTTATTATTGTGCTTTAGGTAATCTATATAAATATAAATGCCATGAAATTTAAACATACTATTATTTTATAAAAATTTATAATATTATTATTTGTCAAATATGTGTATTTTTTAAATACTAAAATATGTGTATTTTTAAAATAAATATATAATTATTATTAATTATAAAAAACTTATGTATTTTTTGATACCTGATCAACATCACGTTCTTCGATGATATAGAAGATATTCGGTATTTCAATTTACATCCAGATATTATAATCTTCATTCTTTTCGCAAATTTTTTTTATTTGCATTTATTTATTCTAGATCACAATTTCCAATTTCTATATCTAAGTATTTGTTTGATAATCATTGAATTATATTGGATTATCAATTTTGTACATAAGCAACACTTTTTTAAATCTCAATTTTTATTTTTCTATTACATTTTTAAATATTACTTATTTTCAAGTCAAAAACAACATTCAAAATCAATTATTCAACTCAATCAATTTTATCAGACAAATTAAATTCTAGAATTTATTTATCATTATCATTAGTAAGGCAGTAGGAATAAGTAAAGTAGTTAATTTCAATGTAAGTTCAAAACTGTATTCTGTTAATTCTTTTGCTTTGTCATTATATATATATATATATATATATATATATATGGAAATGTTATAAGTTCATTTCTTATTAATAATCAAAGAAGAAATAATATAATATAATATTATGTATTTGTAAAAATATTTTAATATTTTTATTTTTATATCTGAAAAAAGCTTTAATATTTAAAAAAGCATAAATAAACATTTTCATTTTATTTGTTTCTATTTTAAGAAAATAAATTTGAATTTTCATAATTTCTTTCTTCAGTGAATTGAATAAGTTCAAAATCTTGAAAAAAGAAAATCAATCTATGATAATAAATTAAATATGATTTTACAAGAGAAAAATATTATAATATAGAAAAATATTATTTTAACATAGTTAAAATATTGAAAAAAGTTACTTTCTTTAGAATATTTTTATAAATATATATTAAAAATTAATTAATATTTTTTTTTGATCCATTTATCTAAATCTAATATGATAGATAATTTTTACGAATAAATTTGAATTTATTCACACGAAAATGCATAAAAGATCTCTCATTTTCAAATAAAAAATCTTTGATATTTTTTTTTTACAAAATATCTATCCCATTGTATTATCATTTTATCATTTATTTTCAAAATCGAATTTATAAAAAAAAAAATATTAAGAATATACGAAATCAAAAGTGTGTAAAAAAATATTTTATTTTACAGATTAACCGTCATATTCTCTGTGATATCATTCTATCTAGTCGTTTACTAATACAAAAAAAATCTGTTCTTGTTTCTTCTTGACATCACATGCATATTATTGCTAATGTTGGTAACCAATGTTTGCGAATATTTTGGGATGTATTTATCCAGCAAGTTCAATATTCCATGAATCTACAAAAATAAATTATAAAATAATTTTTAAGGCATTGAAATTACAATAATCAATGTTATGATAGCAAATATGATAGCAATGTAAACATCATACTTAATATCTACTGTTTCTATAAACTCAGGTAGTGAAAGAAATCAATATGGCGGCTAATGTAACCTGTAAAATAAAGTATTTTTATATACGTATAACTTTCGATTCTTTACATTCATAATATTATGATAATTAAATTCTATTAATTTATATAAAAATTTATTTTTATGTCCTTAAAACTAAAGTTTAATTTTCACTTTTATTTAGTAAGTAATTAATAATTATACATTTAAACCTGAATACTTGTAAATACTTACTACTATACAATGATATATTTTAGCTGAATTTCAATATTTTATGCCATAACTTTTAATGAAAATTACGCACATTTATATATATTTGTATATTTTTAAATCTTTATATCTTATATATTTTATACTTTTTTTATATTTAAAAAATTACATTTTTTATTGCAATTTTATTTTTTATATATAAAGATAACATTTTATATTTTTAAATAATATATTTTATAAAGTATTATAAATCATTATTCATACATAAGTATTTTAATAATTTAACATTAACTTTCAATTTTAACAAAAATTTTTTTATTTTCTTAATCTATATTTTTCAAAATTAATACCAACGTAAAATTGCGTCTGCGCTTTAATAACATTTAGATTTTAAAACTTCATATATACAATTGATATTTCAAAGGTTAATGGTTTCAAAGTGATGTGCGTATAGAATAATTATTTTTATGATGAATGATATTATTTATATTTAAAAAAAATATATATTTATCAACATATATTTATCAACATATATTATAATATTATATTATTATACTTGTATTATGTATCATGACTCATGATTGATATAATTTAATATATTTATTTTTATATTTTTAGTTAAGATAGTTTTTTAAAGAAAATGTTACTTGAAACGTGGAAATCGGCAGATGAAATTGTGAAAAAAGAAATAATAAACTATGGCATTTTTTGTAAAAAAGCAACTGAATACGCTAGTTGCGAAGTTATTATTGAAAATATAGATGCTATCAATGCATCTATAGAAGATTTGAGCAAAAAATTTAATTCAAAAATTTTAAATGGCAAAAATAAAAAGAGGTTAATTATAGGTGAAGGAAATTGTGAAATAGACCGTCAAATTGAACGAGCACTTCAAATGATGATGATTTCAGAAAAAAGTTTAATTACATTAAATATATTGCTTGAAGACATTAATTTACATGTTATATTTGAAATAACATTAACTGAAATTCAACCATATAAACCAATTTGGGAATGGACACCAGAAGAAAAATATAATATAGCCCTAAAATATAAAGAAACTGGTGTATATTTATTTAAAGAACAAAGATGGGTAGATGCATTTTATAGATTTAGTAGAGCTTGCAAAATTCTTATAACATTAGAACCAATACGAGATTTAGAATTAGATAAAGAATTAGAAAATAATATTAATAATTTAAGACTTGTACTATATAATAATATGGCTGGATGTCAATTAAATCGTAAGAATTATGAATATACAATATCTTTATGTAGTAAAGTTTTATCTAAAGAAAGCAATAATGTTAAAGCATTATATAGAAGAGGAGTTGCACATGGAAGATTAAAAGATCTTGAAAAGGCTGTTCCTGATTTAAAAAATGCTATTAATTTAGAACCACATAATCAAACAATAAAAGAACAATATTTACTATATAATACAAAACTGCAAGAAGCAAATCAAAAATTTGAAAATATGGTGAAGAGGATGTTTAAAACTTAAAATGATATTATTAAATTATTTACAAGGAAAAATGAGAAAAAAAGTTATTTCATGGATAAAAAAATAAATAATTTATTTTTATCTACAATAATTTACATTATGAATAATCTATTAAGATTACAACAAAAAAATTTGTTACAATATGTAACTTTGTATCCAATAATATCTGTATCTGTATATGTATCTGTATTATTAAGTAATTTTATTACAGAATTTGTTTAAAGATATTGTTTGTTTAAAGATATTGAAATTTTTATGATATATGTCATATTGTTAAATTAACTTTTGAAAACAAAGATTTTATTATTAATACTACTTTATGTTATATTTATAAAACATATTAAAAAATATATTAAATAATGAATAAAAATAAAATTAAAAGAAAATTATTTTTATAAATTTTTTATTTTATAGTTTATAATTTAGTATTTTTATTTAACCACTTAGAATATCTTCATATTATATATAATATTGAAAAATACATGATGCATCAAAAAAATAAATTATGTTACACTGTTATAGTTATAATTCTAGAATTAAATTCTAGTTATAATATTATAGTTATAATTCTAGAATTAAATTGATTAAATACATTAAAATATGAGGTAATTAAAATAAGTTTTTTATTTTTTAATAAAATATAAAATATATTTTTAATGTATGTAACTATGTAATGTATGTAAAAAAATTCATTTAAAACTAATTTTAAATGAATGTACTGGCACTTTTATTATAATGTATTTTCATTTAAAATATACAATTAAATAAAATGTTACTGAATCTATAATTATTTTGATAAATTAAAATTAGAATTATGTAAATATTATTTTTAAATATAATAATAAAATAATAATATGATTTATAATGTAAATAGAGTGTTATAAGTGTTTCAATGTTTTAACAATAACTTATGTTATATATACTTAATATACGAATAATGGTATATATATTTATAAAATTCATAAAATTATCATTTTCTTGTCAAAATAAAAGTGATCACTAATAAATCAACAAATAATTGATATAACTTTTTATTTAAACCATCACCATAAAATTATATTTTTCCCATATTAATATGTAAATATGAAATCTCAATAATCTTTTCATTTTCTGTTTTAAAAGAATACATAAATTATATATATAGTTTCTAATTTAAGAAAGAAATTAGCACTCTAGTTATATTTACAATTCTTTAAAAATTTGTTTAACGTATAATTTACGTTCCGCAAAATGTTAAAATTGAATTGTTGTTAATCTATTAAAAATATCAACTATGGCATATGTATACATTTAATATATTATTATAATTAAATATTATGAATTTTATTTGAAATTTATAAAGTGTAATGAACACTAAATAGTATTTACACTTCAGTTTATTAAAAAAATTAATCAATACAATAGTAACTGATGTTGAATAAATCTGGCACGGATATAATTTAAGTATGTTAGTTCATATACATAGAATAATGCATAAATATACAAAGTGTGTACTATTAAAATTTCTTTTCAAAAATATTTTAATATATTTTTTTTTTGTTATCTTAAAATGTGCTTAAATATATTTTCCTAACTAAAGAGCTAAATGAAATCAATGTTATCAAAAAATATAGAAGTATACTGTTTTTAAAAATTTGTTTACACTTTGTTTCTTTATGGTATACATATGTATATATATATTTATATATTGTAATATAAAAAAAATTAAAATTGATCATAAACATTAACAACCCCAAAACAATAGCTTCTATCCAAACAATATTTTTTACCAGTAATTGTGGAATTTTATTTTTTTAACAATGTAATATCAATCATAGACAATAGTGATGTTTTTCAACAATCTAGAGGGAATTATAATCAAAATATATTGTATATACATTCACAGTCATTTTAAATAAATATGTTTAACGCACAGTCCCTCCTTGTGACTTAACAAAAAAATAGCTATTTATGGCCTCATATTACATGGTAAAAACAATTAAATTTTGTTATGTCACTTACTGGTTTTAATACATTGGTGTATATTTCTAATGCACTTAAGAAATTGGGACACAAAGGGAATGAACATCATGTTAGTTTAGGCTTGCCATTGGCAGTGACAGTGGCATTCATTGTTGTATTTGTAGCCATTTCAGCAGCTTGAGCCACTGCTACGGACACTGACTTCTCCACAACTTGTTGATAGACTGGCTTAATTAACTGAACAGATATAAAAAAATTTATAATTAATTAATAAAAATTTATAATTTATAATTAAATATATTATGTACGTAATTGAAATTAATTTAAATTTGATATAAAAATATTACACATATTCATAAAATTCACACATTTTAGCTTATAACTATAAAATCATATATTTTCAAAAAAAAATTAATATTTAGTTTTAAGTATAATGGTATAATTTTTATAGAAATTGTAAAGAACAGCTATCTCTTTTTTTTTAAATATATGAAATAAAAATTATTTTTACTTTTATGTTAATTATAAGCAAACCCCATACCTTTTGTACATTTGCTCCTGTTAGTATTCAGCTTACATTAAGGAGGAAAAAAAATAGTAACATAATATTAAAGGCAATATTTATATAAGTAAAAAATGTAATATTAATGTAAAAGTAATGGATAAATACATATATAAGAAATCATATGCAAATATATTCAAAATAGTATAACTACAATTAAAATGATTTATCATAACTATATAATTTAAATTGTTTTATTATTTATAAATAGAGTTTGTTAGGTAATGTAAATATTCTGAAAAAAGGAGGGAATAATAGTTTAAAATGGAATTATATAATTTAAAAATATTATTAAAAATTATGTTTATAAACTACTATAAATATTCTAAAAATATAGGAAAATTAAGATAATTTAGAAGTGTTAAATATAATGTTTTTTAGGTATTGTAAATAAAAAAAAAAAATAGTTATTTATTAAACAGTGAAAATATACTAAGAAGAGTAATAATTTAAATAAAAATTGTATAATTTAGATATATTGTCAATTATAATGTCTATTAAATAATTTAAATATTCTGAAAAAAGAGAAAAATAGTAATGTAAACAAAAATTATATAGTTTAAAAATATTATCAAAAAAAATATTTATTAAGTATTGAAAATATTCAAAAAAAAAAGAAAAATAATTAGTTAAATAATATTTATCTAATTTATAAGTATTATCAAAGACAATATTTGTTAGATAATGAAAATATTCTAAAAAAAAGGTAAAGTAGTAATCTAAACAAAAACTATATAATTTAGAAATATTGTTAAAAATAATATTTATAATATATTGTAAATATTCTGAAAAAATAGCATAATAATTTAAATAAGAATTATATAATTTGAAAATATTATCTAAAATAATTTTTATTAAAGAATATAAATATCCTATAAAAAGAGAAGAATAATAGTTTAAAAAAGAATCATATAAATTAAAAATGTTATCAAAAGTGATATTTGTTAGGTAATCAAAATATTTTGAAAAAATGTTAAAATAATGATGTAAAAAGTAAAAGCAACTGTGAAAAGATTTAGAAATAGCACAAAAAATAATATTTGTGATAAAATATAAATATTCCCAAAAATTAGGTATATCTTCAAAACTAAAACGAATAGAGGGAAAAAAAGGTAAAGGAGGTGCTGGAAAAATAAAATCATATAAAATTATAAACCATGATGAAGCAGCAGCCACAGCAAGTGTAAGTACAGTGAATAGTACCCCCATATCTCGAACCTGTAGAAATCATATGTGGAAGGTATGAATCAGGAAATATGGTGAAATGATGAGGAGCAATTATTTACATCACCTAGTTAATCTTTGGACTACAAAAGGAATTGTTTAGTGCATAATATTTTAAGTGATATTTTTGTTCTGTTGAAGTAAACACAACTTTTCATACATATTTTAAATAATAAAAATGTAAATAAAGCTTTACATAAATTTCTATTTGTATAATATGAACAATCAATATGTACATTAAATCAAAAAATTAGGTACTAAATGAAATTATCTAATTACAAATATATAAATTACTTCTCATCATTTTAATGCATGGAATTAGCTTTATTAATAAATAAATTAAGTAATGTTTATTAATTTTATAGCTAAAAAGATTTTACGGATAGCTGTTACTTATATTAAATAGAAAGCTTACTGAAGGAATTTAAATACATAGGTTGATATATAAATAATTAAATGTACACTACTTACATTATTCCATAAAACATTAGCCACTTCATCTATTGCTATTCCAATTGTGTCATAATTACCACTGTATCTAAATTAATAAAAAATAATTATAATTGTATAATTGGAAAGAATTATTAAATCTCTTTATATATCTCTATATATACCTAATGTATGCCAATAACATTAAGGTTAATATACAGATGCACATGATGAAGTTACAAATATTTGCTAATAGATATAATCCAGTAAAACCAAATATAGAGGATAAGAAGTACATAATGGCAACAATTGCGCAATATACTCCTGCAGTTCGCGTTGATTTAAAAACATTTTTACTTTCATTTTGTGCTTTAAAGTGAACAAAAGCTTTATCCATATCCTGTTATAAAAGTAATTAATGGTTATAATAATATATAGTAAATATAAATAAATACAATTCCAACAATCTCTCACCTGGCATAATTTTTTTGTATAAGTTTGACTAAATGATTCTCCTCCCATTTTTCTTTTATTCTGAAATTTGTATATAGCTTTATCCCTACAACGTGCATGTTCATCCTCTAAACGTTGTGTTGTTAAATATGGTTTTTTTGTTCCACAAATATCTTCCATTAATCGCATATAAAATTCTCTAGCTTCTGTAACTGCAGCTAAATTATTTGCTTCTGCTGTTGCCTAAAAATAAATTATAGAATTATATTATATATTATATGTTAATGTCAAAATTTTTAAATTGTTGATATCGAGTTAATACTTTATAAAAGAGCTTGGACTGAATATAAATAAAGATACATAAATATCTTTAGAAGAATTACATTGATCGACTGGATGTTATATAGTTATCGAATATCGAATGTTTGTTTAAAAAATAAGAATAGCAAATGGTTGAAAATGATATTTGTGTATTATACTACTTGTACAAGAATATTTTTTAGTGAAAAGATTATTAGGTACCTGATAGATATCTCAGAATTTAATATTAATAATTATTATTGAATTTGATCTAACTTTTTTCTAACATCAGAAATAGTATATAGAAATAGTATGTTGTAAAATAAAAATTAAAATATTTAATGAATATTTGATAGTTAGCTCATTATTAATGATACAATTAGTTACTATATATAATAAATATACAAAGTATACAAAATTATTATATCTGAAATGAACTCCTTATGCATATAAAATTTATAATATAGCTTAAAATTTATCATAAAAGCAATGAAAAATCAATATATATGAAGTTTTGTTTAATACATAGTATAAAATAATTTTGTATATTATTTGTATATAAATGTATATAATTTGTATATAAATATTGTAAATAAATTTGTATATTATAATTTGTCACTTCAATAATTGATTTAACGCAATTCGTGAATTTTATCAAAGATAAAAGGATTGTCTAAGAAATAGTGATATTTGAAATGTTTTGAATTTTTAAAATGTATATGCATATTGTTTCACTATTTATTAAAGGATGTGATCACAGAATAAAAGAGTAACCTTTCTAGTAAAAGAAATATTGATATAAGGCTTACTTCAAAATATATAAATGAATTATTTATCATAGATTGATCTAGCACATTATATATAAAAATTTATAAATAATGCATGCAAATATTGCATGAAAACTTACCACTAACATACTTTTTGGTTCAGGAAGCTCGTTTCCTTTGTAAATTTTCATATAACTTTTGAAATATTCCAACAAATCCCTTGCTTTTACAATTTGTCCATCAATTTTCTTTGTAACTAAATTTTCTGGAGCTAACAACATCGGTATTAATACTTTGAGTTGTTCTTTAAATTCTGGTTGAATTTCTGCTAATCTACCATCGAAATGAGGATTAGTGGCAATATTTAAACCTGGATGTGGCATGAGAAAACAAGATATATCCGAGAAACATGATTTAATGTGCTTTCTTAGACTTTGCAATTCTGGATGTTGTTTATCAGAAATTTCTAATCTTCTATTCAATATCTCTTTTCCACCTTCTGCACCGTAATTCGCTTCGTAAGGATAACTCCAATCTCTTACTAAGAACTGTAACTTTTGGAATGGTTTGCGTCCTGAGTTTTGTAACGCCAGCCTACCATATTCCGTAAAAAGTTGCAAGTGCTGAAGATCATCCTCTTGGATATTTTGTGATAGATTATAAATTTGTAAAGATGACAACATTGTACTTAGAGCAAACACAGTCGCACAATCCTTCACAGTGGATTGACTATCAAAAGCACCTTGTGTATCCATTAAAATCACAGCAACATTTTCACCATCTGGTAAAGTACCACGGAAAACTTTTGACCACATTAATATGCCTGTCGTGTCTCTTTCAGATCCTCCTTTCCACGAAAATCCACGTAATGGTTCATCTTCTTTACCCAACCAAGAGTCCGTTTGATTGTTGTTATTATACTATATCATCCATGTTAACAATCAATGTTGTTATACAATCAATGTTCCATGTGAGCGTGAAAAAAATAAAGATAATTTTGATTTAGTTTATATATAAAAATATTCTATTAAATTACTAAATATACAACAAACCATGCAGAAATCAAATTGAACAATTTCATTTATTATAGTAATTTTTCTGAAAAATTATACTGTTATACATTTCAATTTTAAAATTAAAAAATTTTTAGAATGTGGAGTTGATCAATTTGACTTTTCTTAGAGACGTAACTGATACTTTGTTACTAAATTTTTATGTGTAATAACATACCTTACTGTTCATATATCGCAAGAAAAAGTCAAGCAGGAAGCTTTTGCCTTTTCTGAAAGCACCCGCTACCGACACAACAACTACACTCCTATCTTTAATATCATCTTCAAGGAGAATTTTTGATAAAGCTTCTTCGTTTAATTCAAAACTGTGATCTGGATGAGCAAGCACGATTTGTACAGGGTGTCCTAAGTCCGAGGTATTATTATCCTGACTATTCATCGAGAGACGTTCTATTCTTTCTTGCCAACCCGATTGATCTAATGAAGATCCACAATTGAAAAAACATTCATTGCATTATCATTTTTAAAATAACAAATAACAATTACTGTTAAACACTGTTAACATAATTATTTGATGGAATAAAATATAATTTTAAATTTAATTTAGAAATATTTTTCTATATATATAATTTGATATTTTAATTTTATTATTTTATTTATTTTGATACACCACATATATATTTTATCGCGTATAAAAAGAAAATATATTATTATATATTATTATTTCTATATTACATATAATTCTATATATTAATCTCATATATTAATTTATTATTAAATATTTGAAAAAATATATTTTTTTAATTATTACTATAAATTGTCAAAAAATTAATAAATTTATTACTATAAAAGTATCAAATGAAAAAATATAAGTTAGATCTTATATCTTATATCTAATTATTATCGTATTATTCGTACTATAAATTTCAGCTGATCTAAATTTTTTTTTTTATAATTTTTGATAAAATTTTTCTCGAATTAATTTTAAAAAATAATTTATAAATATTTGTCAGTATTTTATCTTTCTGAAAAAATTATTTATTGAGATCTTTAAAAGATATAATGAAGAAACGAGAATAAAATTAAAAAATAATTTATAAATTATGAATGATCAAAAATGTTTATCTTACCTGCAAACGATAATAAGAATGGAAGCGTGACGTTTGCAGGCCTTGACTTAACTGACATTATTCAGGCACATGAACGTGAGAAACGAGAAAACAAATAGCTTTAACTATCATTGCATGCGAATAACATGCTGACCATGTAATTCGATTCAACTTGTAGATACGAAACTTATACGCGAAGAACTTATTTTAAAAATTTAAGAAGATAATAATAAATACAAATAATAAAAATAATTCGTTAATAATAATAAAATCATTAATAATCATGCTCAAATAATTATGTACAGGATATTAAAAAATTGTTAAAATGCTACAAATGAATTTTAAAACTTTTGATTTGATGAAAATTGATGTAAAAAAAAATGTTGAAAAAATGAATTCAATCAATTTTTTCAAAGTTAAAATTATTTATATATATATATATATATTCTTTTACGAAAATCAAAAATGTTGTCTAAAAATCATGATTCATAGAAATAATTTTAATATTTTAATAGCGTGCTATTTATAATCTATTTAATTACGAAATTAATAATATTAATATAAATAAATAAATTTAAAAATCAATTTCGATTTTATCACATCTTCATTATATCAATTTTTTCCAAGCTAAGATATGATATGTATACTTATAATACTAAATAATTTTTTAATTCTTGATAAAATAATTTTATGTATCTCATAATAATTATTTGATTAAATTCTATTTTTGAAAAATCACTTAAATTAATGACAAATGTGAAGCTTTTAGAATATAATTTTGAAACTATATAAGTTTTCGATAATATTTTGTGATTAGATATATAGATATCTTTTATTTACGTTTCTTACTGAAATCGCCGATATTGAATTCATAATCTTATTGAAATTAATCTTAACAAAAATAGCTTGAAAAAATTAATTCATGTATATAATTTTTTTATACAATATATAATATATTTCATATATTTTGAATATTCAAATATATTTTATATATACCCATAATAATATAAATATTCGTTCTTGAATATAAAAGAAAATCTTAAGAAAAGTTTAGCATTGAATATATATAATGGTAAATATATTTTAACGAATATCTTGAACTAAATGAATTGAAATTAAATCAATTTTGTCATAATATATTTGATAATAAATTTTAAGATCATCGAAAATGAAAAAGGTTATAAAATAAAAATTGTTATTTTATATATTTATCCAATAAAATATAAAATAATTTATTTCATGTATTATTCCTACACAATAAAAATAATTTTCTTTAAAAATCGTAATTCATTATACGTATACTTGAAATGTCATTGCTAAATATTATTATAATGCATGAAATGCACGATATGTGGGTTTCAAGAATATCGTACACTTTCGTTTTTCAATATAGTTTCCATACTATGCGCTCATAGAACTCGAAGTGAATTTCTCACGACTTGATTTCTCGATTTCCTGTTTTTATAATTGATAAGATATATACGCATTTGCATTCGTGTAAAACGACTACATGAATACTAGTCTGGCATCTTGACCACAAACCTGTTATTCAAAAATAGACTAACTTAACAGTTCGATCGATCTGACTTCATGGTTGTATATTTTTTGAACACAACTTTCGAATAAAAAAATTGAAATCTTTTTCTTTTAGACACGTTTCGATTCAAAATTGATTTTTTTTTCTTTTCTGATTAAATAATAATTTATTATTATTTATTTAAGATCAGTTAATTTATAGTTTTTTTATTGTTTTTGAATTTTTAAGTCATAATTTTGCTGTTATTTTTAAAAATAGAAATATTTTTAACATATTTGCACAAAATTGATTTAAGTATATTGATTTTTTCTTTTAAATTAATAATTCATATAAAATTTAATTACGAATTATGAATTATGTTATAGAATTATGTTATAGATTAATTCTTTAGTTTAAATTTAATCAAGAATTAATTTTTTTATTTGATTATTTTTATACAATTTTAAAATGTATAAGTGGATTTTATTATAAAAGAGATGCACAATTATAATTGTTGTTTAATTATAATAAAAAATATTATGAATAGAATGCAAGTCAATGATTTTAATGTTAATTTAAGCATTATCTTTGAATTAATAATTTATTCTATTATAAATTATAAATTAATTTCTTTTTTAATTGAAAAATATATCGATTATATCGATAACTTAATAACTAATATTATTAATAAAATTAACTAATATTAAACTATTATTAAACTATTTAAAAATAAATCTTTCTGAAAAATAAAATATTAAATTTCAATATAAACGTATAATATAATATAAAATGTATAAATATTAAAAAGTATAGATTAAAAGGTAAATTCCACGAGTTGATGCATTTTAATTTCATTGACGTAAGTTCTTCGAAAGAATCTTGAATAGTGATAGAACATTCGAAACTTCGAAATCTTTCAAAATCTAAATAAATAATAATTTGTATAGATATTATACAAAAATGTGACAATATGCATTTTTATCTAATTAATAAATTTTATATTTTTTGTATTTTAGATTTATTATATTTATTTATTATAATTAATATAGTTTTATATTTTATTATATAATTAGTATTTATAATGTAATATATTACAATAAAAAAAATATAAAAAAATAAGACAAAATTTTAATTTCTGCATATAAATTATTGTTGGTTAATTAAGGCTTTGAAATTTGAAGAATTTCCAAAATAAAAATTTATTTGAAAAATTTTAACTTTTGAAAAAATAATAAATAGATATTAAATAGTAAATTAAGATATTTCACTTTTCAGAAATTAAAAAAGAATAAAAATAAATATTCTGATTTCGAATTTTGAAAATTTCAAGATTTTGCAGACTCTGCATTTATAGATTTTCGCGAATCTAAAATCAAGTTTTGTCCTGAACGATTATATACATTCTTATTTATAAATATCAGATATTTTTTTTATTTTAAAAAAATTTTTAATAAATATTTTATTTTAAAACAGATATCATTTACTGAAATGATTTTATCTTAATTCAATTATGTATTATATTTTTAATTTAATTATATAATACTATTAATAATATTTGAATGCAAAATTATTATTTTATATGTATAATCCGAAATAAAAGATTATAAGCCATTTGACATATTGAATATGATAGAATAAAATTCTATATATCTTTTTATTTTAGAAATTTAAACCTATTTTGGTAATAATAATAAATATTAAATACGCCATGAGACTTTATAAATTATCAAATATATTTTAAATTAAACAGAAATAAGAAATGGACAATGTATTATATGATCATGTATAATTGTAAAGAATAATAATTTTAAAAAACAATTATTTAATTATAATAAAAATATTGAAGCATTATTACTCTTTCAAAAGAAAGATATTTTATTTAAAAATTTATATTTTTGCATCAAAATTTAACATTCCAAAGTCTGCAATATATAATACAATCAAAAAATTAAATAATTTTAATAATTTCTTGTATAATAAAAAAAGAATTGACTTGAATAAAAGAAAAAACAACAATAATAAAACAAAATTAATAGAAAACGAAAGGATCAAATTGAGATGACAATTAAATGGCATCTTTTAGAAGCTGAACTTCGCACATATCGCTGTAAAAAAAATGGCACTTAAAAATTCCAAAAATGCTTATTAATGAGTAATTATTAATGAGTAAAAACATAAAAATTGGAAAAAATATCATGGACAAGTCGAAATTTAAAGAATTTGGTATAAAAGAATGAGTTCATATATAGAGAAAATACACAAATGATAAATTGATAATCGATTTTATTATTCCAATTGTAAAATATGGAAGTCAATCTGTAATGATATAGAAGTATTTTGATGTAAATTTAATAATTTAATAAAAGTTTAAGAAATATTAATAATATCTGAATAATAGTATCTGAACATTCTTTGCAATCATACAATATATATAGAAGAAGATTAATAAAACAAAACTTATATTTATGCAAGATAACAATTCTAAATATATTTTGAAAATTTGTAAAAATTATGATACACTCACAATTATTCAATCTCAAGTTGATTAAAAAATTATGGGATATAAAAATTATATATTTTTTAATAAGATTTTTAATGTAATTTGTGTGATGTATTTTTAATATTATGTATGTATAAGATGGTTCATAATTATTATCCAAATATTACCATCTCGTTTTATACTATTGTTATTATTGATAGCAACAAATTTTTTCAGAAAAAGTTGAATAATTTTAAGGCTGTATATTTTGATGTTATTAGTTTTTTTTTATAAATGGATATCATTATATAGAGAACATTATAAAGGACATGCAAATCATTAATATTTTTTTTTAAATAAAATCATATATCTTTTACAGCATCAAAATGATGCAACTTAATATTCTTTATAAAAAAATATTTATGTCCAAAAATCATTAATTTAAAAGATATTTTAATTTGAAGTTTATAAATGTAATAAATAATAATATAAATAAATACCGTTTTAAAGACAAGAAAAATATGATCAGTAGAACATTATTTTGCATATACTTTGTCTTTCAATATGACTCTTAAACTAATTTTTGAACATAGATTATTTCTTATAATATTTTCTGTAAAAAATATCAAATTGTATTACTGATACAATAAAAGATATATATCCCATTTAAAAAAATATCAATCTTCACATGTCCTTTTTATATGCATCTAAAAAAAAAAAAAAAAAAGAAAAAAAATTAATAATGTATTCTTGTTGAAATAATTTCATGTAAAATATTTTTTGTTAAGTATAATAAAACGATAAAATCGAATTATAATATCTAATAAATTATTCTGTAATGCATGTTAATTTTATTTATATAATAAATATAATAGATTATTTCATAATATAAATTGTCCATATTTTAATTTATGTAAGTGTTCGATGATTTATGGACGGAAATATACATATTGTGAATAAATATTAATATACAAAAAGTTGATTATATTTGCATTTTAAATCCTACTTTTTCTCGATATTTCTTCCATTTTTCACTTTAAATGCTACTTCCTTGTAATCGTCAATGTCAAATCGCTATTGGCAGACATAATCGATTTGTATCTATTGCCATTTTGTATTTACACGAATCATTATTACGTTAAACTCGTATATACAAGAATTTCTCATCTGAAATGAGAAACTTGGCTGGTTTAGTGGGAAAAATAAAATACGAGAATTTAATTAAGCGACAAATGATACATTTAAAAAGAAGATGGAAATCTTGAAAACAAGACATTGATTAATGCAATTGTCCTAGTGAAAATCTAAAATTCAATTTATTTATGAATATATTATTTATGTTTCATACTTGAAAATCACTTTTATTTATGGTTATTACCTTAAATAATCTTAAATAACTTGCATGTAACATTTTTCTATTTTATTTTAGAAATATTATAGTGATTGATAAATAATATGTATAAAGTTAATTCCTTATATTTATTGTTAATATTAAAAACTTAATCATATCTTCATTTTTTTCATCTCAATTTTTTTCTTGAAATTCAATGTTACATATTCATAAAGAAAGAATTCGGATATTGTTTATATTACCATTTAGAATAGAAAATTAATGTTATTATATTAATATCATTTGAAATCATAGAACTTTTTATGTATGTTTAATTATTTTCTCTATTTAAAATATAATATAACTGCATCTCAATATATTTATGAATAATACAAAATTAAAAGAACAAATAAAGTCATTGTCAAGAAAGAAGAGAATATATTCTCTGAAATAAACGAATATTTTGTTTCAATAATAGAAATATTTGAATAAGTAAAATTTATTTTTTTTTATATTATTTTTAGTTATGAACTAACTATGAACATATGAACTTTAAAAAAAAAAAATCAATATATCTATACGCATTACAATATAATGAAAATTTGATCAATTATTAATCATTTATGAAATGTTTTTATTTAATAATTATTTAATAATTAGAAATAAAATAATTAGAAAGATTAAAGAGATTATTTATAAGTTTGATTTTCTATGATGGCCGTGCGAAAATTAACATATAGAACTTGTGTAGTGAAAGAAATATGAAAAATCAAATCTATAAATATTGACAGAAAAAATTGCAGTTGTGATTGTGCTTAGATATTCACACACGTGCATACATATTCACTTACATTGCTACACTATGATTACTTATTTCCTACGTTACATGTTCATGTGCCTTATAATGACATTGCTTTTTGCATGATATTAGATATTTTACGATGTTCGTAAAATATATTAATTCAATGTAGAATATTTATTTCTTCTCGAATAATCAATACATTATAATACATTCTTAAAAAATATATGGAAAGTTTTTAATAAATCTAATTTATTTCGAAATAACACATTTCGTAAGAGGTTACGAAAATAGTAGTTCAAGAAGTAAAATTTTTATTAGAAATATAGTAGCTTGAAATATGTTATAAAGAACATTATTTTGAGCAACTTTTTCTTTTAAATATAACGATCAATTTTGATTTTCGAGTTATTCATAATAAAATTTTTCATAATATATATTATATATATACTATATATTTGTAATGTAATATTCGATTTATTACATTAATTTATTACATTAATTTTTCTGTTTATTGTATATATATTTATAGCAGTGCATGCAACAATATGCAACCACCATTTATTAATTGTTAATATAAATATATCATGGCAACCAGTACTTAAAATAATTGAATTAATATCACCACTTATTATTTATAGCGAGTTTAAGCATTCTACGAATATTTGAAAGTAGAATTATGAAAATCGATATCGTTATCATAAGATATTAATAATATAATCGATAATCAATAAGAATTCTATTCAAAATGTAAAATATAAAACAACAAGACTTAAGTGATTGAAATTATAATAAAAGCAACTTTATATTTAATATCTTTTAAAAAAGGATTTTATTCAAATTAATGAGAAAGTAGATTTTCATTCATTATATATTAAATGTTTATGTAAATAGTTAATAAATAACGTATTAACGTATATTGATGTATACATTATCATAGATGCAATATGCTATTATGCACATGTATGGGCAGAATTCATATTATAATAATTATTAGTATTAGTAAAAATTTTTTTATGAATAACACGAAAATTAAAGTTGATTGTTTTTTCCTTATATACAAAAAAAAAACTTGTTTAAAATGCATTTTTTTATAATATATTTATATAATATATTTTTATAATATATATTTCAAAATCATCAAGATTGATAAATAAAATTAATCGACAGATTAATCTTTAAAGTATTTCATTTATTTAAAGTGTTAAAAAAAAAAAAAAGAAAAAAAAGTCAATGTCAAAAATTCAGTGCAAGTGTTTTTCTTTTTCAAATTAAATATTCTACAATAAAGCACAAAAAGAAATTGAGCAATTTTTAATCAATGAAAAATTAAATATAAGATGTTCTTCTATGTGTTTTAATAAGTTTTAAGAACTTCAAATTGTATATTTATTTATTTGGAAAATGATGAAAAAATATTTTATGTATTATGCGTTAAATAATTTTAATTGAATGCTGAATAAAACATAATTTACATATAATCAATCAGATTTACTAAATTATTTACTTTGAATGATTATCTAATCATTATTCGATTATCAAAGTGCAATTTTTTCTAAAGTGCAATTTTTTAAAAATATTTCTTATTCACTTTCCATATATAAATAATTATGCATCTTGAATTCTTATAACCTAAAAATATCTTGTGAACATTTTTTTTACTGATAATCAAATTCAGAATTCAATTAACTTGTATATCCTGCAACAAAAAGATGATGTCTCGAAAATTTAATTTTATTTTCATCATTTGAACAAATATATTTATTCTTATTCTTATATTTATATCATAAATTATTATAGATATTATATTATATCTATAATAATACTAATCCAATATATAATACGTATAATTTTTAAAATAGTTTTTTGTAATATTAAAATTGTTTTTATTTCAACATCGGATAAAGATTTTTTTTCTAGTCTGATGATGAAATTTCAATAAAAAACAACAATAAACACATACAATATTAAATATCCAACAAGATAATACACGATATAAATACTATAACGATTTAATTTTAACTATCGAAAAAGAATTTAGAAATTGTGTTATCATCTTGTCGCATCTATGATTTCTCTTTAAGTTTTGATTAGAATTTTTATTGCCCAATTAATTTCATCAATAGAAACAATCTTGAAGTATACATACGAAGAAAAGATTTTATCATATATTTGAAAAATAACAACATTTAAAAGTGTGTCATCTTTTTGTTGTGGACTATATAAATGTCATTACCTTTTACATTAAATTTAAAATTCCGAAAAATTTTAATTTATGTTGATTTATTAACAAAATGTATTAAAAAAAATATTCTTATTATAAGATGAATATGAAAAAATGTGCTAAAGAGATAATTAAAAAGGAAAAAACTCACTTTCTGTTTCTCTTTCGTTTGTATATAGCCGTGGAACACGGTTCACATTCTCATCGAGGGCCGTCATCGGGGCTTTCTTGACTGAAAACAAATTTTCAAACGCATATTTAGCCTCTTTATTCTCTATATATATTTTTATATTATTTCTTTGTAAAATATTTTCATTCACGAATAGTGGACGTTAAGTGAATCCATATAAGAAAAAAAAAAAAAAAAAAAAAAAGATCTATGAAATTTTATATAATAAATATTATAAATAATTGGAAAATAGACTATTAAAAGCTTTGTTTTTTGCTAATAAATTGCTATTATATCCAAAATTTAAACTCTTAAAAAATTTATATTTGAAACGTTTTGCTGTTACAATGAACTTCGAAGGTCTACTCCGATAAACATTTTCATTGCCACGAAGCTGTTGCATTCACGAGATTTTGGAAACGTGCCAATTTCATGACCGAATCTTCACATTCAATTAAAACAAAATTCTAAAAAGTTGCTCTCAAAAGCTCGTTTCGCGTATCTATTTACAGATATGTTGGATGATTTCATCATCTTTAAATTCTAAATGTTTATGCACATTTTTATGAATACAAATAAAAAATATGAAAAAAGAAAATTAATAACTCGTTTCACGAAATGTTTAAAAAATATATATTTTATTTTTAGAATTTTTACGCATTTCGTTATATCTTTAGAAATATATAAATAAATGAACAGTCTAACTATATGTATCTTCAACAAGATGACGTATTTAATATTAATCGCATCGAATTCAATTTCATATCGATTTTATAATCTTTCCACTAATATTTGATATTAATAACTGTACTTTGAAATCCGCCGTCATAAAGAATTAATAAAGAATTTATAACCAATTTAAATCCAGCCTACTCGTACAAAACACTTTACTATTATGTTTCTATCATAATTATCCTGATCAACGCATCCTTTTATCGCTTGTTGCGTCTCTCCGAGCTTTTGACAGCAAGCCAATTCCCTATCCACCGAGTAAACTTTTCAGCCCCAATACATATCCCGTCCAAAATCCGTGGTTTTAAGCTCGTTTCGTTTCGCAATTAAATTTCACGACACTCGGCTGTTCTCGATTTCACAACGTTTCGTTAAAACCATTTTTTTTTTTTTTTTTTTTTTTTTTTTTTTTTTTTTTTTTTTTAAATTTCTCTAATCCACGATCAAACTTTCGATTGAACCTAAACTTGACACGGTCAGCTATTTAAGCTGGTTTTACGTTGTTCCACGGCGCACCACGATTCTCGTGCCGATCGATAGCCTTATTGTCACGAGCCTGTTGCGTCTTCGTCCTCGGTGGCCTGATCGGTTGTTGTCTAGGCCTGGGCGATTGTTGCTCCTCCCGTTTCCGGATGCTTGTTGTCTTCCTTGTTTCGCTCATCCTGTCGGTTGTCTCACATTCGACACACTTAAGCTTCGCGCTATTCCACTATCGGACTAAAAAGGAAAAATCGCGTATCCACTGGACCGGCCGAGAAAACGATGGCAGCGATGGACCGACACGTACAGGTGCTCACACGGTCGAGCACTAACTCGTACATGGCAACCGACTAGAAATATCCCGCTGTGTGTGGTGGTGGCCTGGCCGATGAGCAACAGCGGTCAGAGCAGCGGAGAACTCCACACCAGTTGGCAGTATCCCACAATCGGTGAATACCGGTGAAACCTGGGTGACGATTGCGGTGTGTCACCTTGTATCGACGATAGTTACGCGTCCTGCGTACAGCTGTATACGTATAGCTTGATATTACGCGCCGCGAAAGGTAATTAATGAATACGCTCCGCGGAGATCCGCTTCGACGACGGCAACCCAGGAATAAACCGGCCTGAACGCACGGTATTTAATAATAGACGTAATTGTACTGATCTCATTTCTAGATTTACGACCGTGATTTGGCGTCACCAGTTAGGATGTACATTATACAGGCTGTATTGAAAGTTTGGATTTTTATACAAATTTGAGTTAGGTATAATAAAAAAGAAAAAGGAAAAATTTTGTTTTTAAGCGGTCAAAAATTGTTGGTCTTTTTTTTTTTTTTTTTGTTATGTCTTATGATTCAACATTCGACGAGTAGATTTTAAAAATATAAGTTTTGGAATATTAAGGAAATCATTTTATCTAAATATTTAAGATTTTGGATTTTGTAATATCCAATAATGATCTAAGAAGATTCTGGAATTAGAAATAAGAAGATTTATTATCCAAAGATTAATAATCAAAGGGATTTGGATTAATCTAAAACTAGAACATGATAATAAAAATAAGAACTAAAATCGTAACTAAACTAAATTAAGAAAGGATAATTATAAAATGTAGTTCATAGTGGATTATATAAATGTTGTATTATAGGGTATTTCAGATTCAAAGTGCTAAATTTGTCAATATATTTTATGGGTCTATAAATAAACAAAAAAATGTTATATAAACATAGATCTATTTATTAAAAAATTATAAACAAAAAATATGAAATTCGAAGGGAACAGTTAAACGATATTTATATATATTATATTTTATACAAGTCATATTTATTATTTGTAGTCATTAAATTAAAACTAATTTTTGTTTGATATTAATTTTAATATTAAATACGTAAATAAAATTGTAATAGAATTTCATTTCAAAATGGTCATTCTTATATATAACATTGATAGCAATGAAAGCAGATAGAATAGAATTTATTACTGTTCATTTATATTTTATTTTATCACACTGAATGAATCACTAACTCTTTGCATCAATTCATCACATTTAGTCTTGTTTAAATTTTTCCAAATAAAAATCAAATAAGATCAAGTGATCATAGAGGCCATAGTATTGACTTCGAGCTATTTATCTTTGACAGAAAAAATCATATTATTGTTGCTGTTTCTTTTGAATTTCATATTTTTGCTTATAGTTTTTTTTAGAAAGTGTTTGCAGACCTATGTTTATATAATATTTCTTGCTTATTTAAATTCATATATATATATATTGACAAAATTTGGTATTTTAAATTTGGGACACTCTATATATCAGCGGATGTGCCGAGGTCTGAAAAGAGTTGAGTCCTTGCCCCTAGTGATGTCATCACTGATTCTTTTGTTTGAAAGGACCGATCACTGCTCACACGTGTAGTCAAAGCTTTTTTTACAAATAATCCTTAAGCTTTGTAAATCCAATATAAATCAAATTTGATTCCAACAAATTAAAATTTAATTAATATTTTATTTGGAATACATTTTTAGTTGGGAAATTTTATAATTAGTTATATTTTGTCATTATTATAATAAATTATAATATTATTATAAATTTATCATTATTATAGAATTTTGTTTATGTAAGCAGCAACTTGTCTCATTAATATATGTAAATACTAAATTTTAAAGATGTATAACTTTTAAATTAGTAAATTTCTAAAATTAAAAATTGTATTTTTGAAATCTACTCCTCGAATTATACAATTTTTGGAAGACATAAAAAAGAAAATCCATAATTTTTTTTACATCAAGACAAAGAGTTGTTGAGAAAACATTTATATAGATCAACATGTGATACGATTTATAATTTGATTCTCGAATAATGAACCGTGAAATTATATGCGTCGCGATCGTCAAGTCAATTTTGATTTAAAATTATATTAACATTTCATTTATTATTATTTTTAATTTTTATTATGAATTTTTCATAATGATTTTTTATACTTTTGTAATTTGTAACCAACAATTTTAAAAATTTATATTTGAAAAATTATGAAATTTATTAATTCCTTAAATGACTGGTTTGTAACAATCATATGCTCGCATAACGTAAGTTTTTAAAAAAATAATAAATTTAACAAATATTTTATATTTATTTTTTCATATTAATAAGAATAATTATTATCCAATTATTTAATAAAAAAATTTTGTTAAATTTATTATTTTATTATTTAAATTATTTTGTGAAATTTCGTAGATCTTAAAAAGTTTAAAATAAAATAAAATAAAATAGAAATAAAGAATGTTATACTATATTCGTAATTATTTATTACCTAAGGGAAATTCTCAAATGGCACGTAACAATTTTTTTTTTTTTATATAAATCAAAAGAACAGTATTTTGAAAATATGATGCTAAAATTTTTGAATCGAGTTTAAAAAAAAATAACGAAATTAAAGTCTATTTAATGAAACGCTGAAATATATAAAGTGTTATGATAATATGTCTGCTATGCGATGAAATATAATATGGAGATAAATGGATGTAATAATTTGTGCATATTGAATCATTATTTATCTTTAAAAATTAATAATCTTCACAAAATAATATTTTAAAAATTTTAGAGAACTTAATCTGTATCTAGAAGTTTCATTATAATTTCAAAAGCATTATTCTCAAAAAATCATATTTTTTAAATTGGTATGCACAATAAATTAATAACTAATTGATTAATCAATCTGAAATAAAATTTATTTTATTCGTTATATATTTTCTAAAAATTATTCTTTTGATTTATATTATTTTTTTATAATTTTTATCTGAAATATTAAGATATAACCTCAACGCAAACTATTTAAAAATTTTTTTAATTATTAAATTCTTATGATTGTAAAAATGCTAAAATCATTGCACGCCAAGGTTACATTGGTTACATTGTTGAAGAAAATAATATTAATTTGATATAATAACAAAAGAAAATGAAAAAAACGTTTTTGTAAATATATTATTACATTCTTGGAATAATAGTCTTTTATTATTTATAATTTCTTAAAAAAAAAAAAAAAAAAAAAAAAAGAAAAGAAAAGAAAAAAAAATATCGAAAAATTATTTTACTATTGTTAAAATTATTTTATTATTTTAAGAATTTTTTTAAGATTTAACAAAATTTATTATTATTTATTCGTTAAAAATTTAAAAATTATTGATTTTTTATTAAATGATAATGATTAAATTTGAATTATAAAATTAATATTATATCATCCATTTGTGATTTAGTTATTATTTTTCTTTATAGATTAATAAAATAAAAAGCTAATAGTTTTGAAGAAACAAATCAAATTCTAAATATAAAATATATAAGTATAACTTATTTCAAATATAAAATAAAATATGTCTATAACAATTAGATTTCTAGATCATTAATTTAGAATTAAAATAACTTAATTAAATTTCAAAATTAAATTACTTACATCACAGGCAACAAGTAGATTTTAAAATAATGTAGGATTATTCCAGTTGCGAATACGTCAATCATCGATACGATTGCGAACTCATTATTATTATTATTTTTTTAATACACTTAAAAACGATGATTAAATTGTTTGTTAATATTGAATTAATGGATTAAACAAGTGAATTTACATAATTCTAAATGCACTTCTTTGAATAATTATTTATTCTCTCAGTTTTTTCATTTTTTAAAAATTTTTTCTCTTTTTTTTCTCTTTAATTTTTAATGTTTAATCTGTTTAAAACTTATTATATACTTTTTAAAATATCGTATCGTATTGTTTTAAAAAGAAAAACATTTCAATTCTCAGAAAAATTACTTATGCAGTATATACTTATTAAGTGTTCTAATAGTTTCTTACTTTTACGAAGCATTTTAATCACTGCAGCGACACTGTAACCACTCTCGAAGAATTCTTTAACGATTCACTTCACTCTTTGCTGACGACACTCTGATGATCTTCACACGACTTTCGAATAACAACTCTCTCGATTCCAGTCAACCCTTGGGTTTTCTTGAACCTACACAGAGATTTCTCACCAGTATATACATAGCGCAGGCTAAGATATTTTTTTTCCTCTTTATCTTATCTATTTCAAACATTCAATCTTTTAAATTGACTCAGTCAATTAAAACTTAATACTATGCAATTATTATAATTTTCAGATAAAATTAATTAATTATTTATTAATTATTAATAATTATTATTAAGTATTATTATTATATTACATTATTAATATATGGTATTGTATTAATAATAATATTAACAATATTATATTATTGAATCACTGTATTCGAAGTAAATTTGGCTTTAGAAAAAAACATTTTATGAAAAAATTAATGTGTTAATGTATTAATGATATACAAATACTGCATTAATACTACATAATCTTTTGTGTTTTGGATATAAAAGTTTTAAAACTTTTTAATATTTAGATTTCTATTGGGAAATAA